GCGGTGCTAAGTCGCGGCGAGCCGACTGCGATGGATGTGTGTTGACAGTGGGCTGCGTTCAAGGGCACATTGAAACTGAGGGGTGGGGGGGGAGTTTGCTAAGCCATGTGTGCTGTAATTAGCCCGGGCTCTCCTTGTGCTTCTTATCTGGTGGCTGGTTGGGACTGTGTCAGATGAGTGAGGAATCCACTGTGACATTATCTGCGTCTCGCAGTGAGCCCTGAATCGTACAATAGGCAGGAGGTGTTACRTGGGAGGATCGTGCCTCAGCACCAACCGAACAAAATTAAGTTTGTAAACATCAGAAACACAAATCCTGACTAACTTACGTGATTATAAGGGAATAATATAGGAGGACGGTCATGTAATTTCCTGCAAGTGTTTTGTTAGCAAAATATCTCACGATTTAGTGGTTGGATCTAAACGAAACCTTCGAAAAGGAATCACACCTGTAACTGATCACCTTTTGGAGCCAGTCTGATTAAAAATATGTTTTTTTAAATAAATAGCCACTTGATGTTTGTAGCACTTTGGGATTTTTGTAAATAAAAAGTGCGTTACAAATTAAACTTATTATTATCATTAAATAGCCACCACAGCTAGTCAAACTGGCTACAATTCATCCCGTTTGTGGTTGTAGCCAAGAGTCATCCCCAGCACACAATCTGAGCACTAACAGGTTGAAACATGTTTGTGGGTAACATATTGGCATGAAAAGAACATGTTTAATTCACAAAATGTTTCTGTCAAAATAATAATCTTATCATTCACATCTTCATTGTGTTTATGTTGTTTACAGTTTGTGTTGTGTGGTGTGCTTCGTGCTCCTGAATGTAACAGTTGTGTGTGTTGTTTTTGTTTTGCCTTCCCTCACAGGTAAGGTGCCACACTCAGGCACTAGGTGGTGCTTAAACACAGCCGTCACCCTCAAACACACACACACACACACACACGCCTCCTTTCTCTGTACACACACACACATCATCATCAGCTCCTATTATGATCACTCAAAGAGAACAACAAAACACCCCCACCCCCCACCTTGCCCTGGCTGACACACACACATTTAAAGACACGCACACACAAAGATGGGGGGTCAAAAGATACACGGCTCAACTTACAGACCTCTTCTCTGTTCATTTGATATTCATCGGCTTCCCTTTCAGCCCTCCCCTCCCCTCCCTCCCTCCCTCCTCGCTTGTCACACACACAAACACTCACACACACTGTCAGATACACCTCTCCCTGCCTTACTCATCAAATCTCAGCCCCACGTGTCTAAAAGCCATGATATCCAGCTCATCATCTCAAGTCTGCTAGAAACACGTGTTTGTGTGCTGGACAGGCGACCAACTGCAACACAATCTGTTTAAATTCACCAATAAACATGTAGCTGTTTAAAAATAAAACATAACTTAAGTTCTGCTCGTTTATTAACGAGTTTGTACAAATGTGTTGCTGACTTATTATTGTCATCCTGGACTGGGGAAGCCCTGTGTGGTCTTTCTGTCCCTCATCAACATGGACTTATTGATGCTTGTTGTCTGAAGCAGGGGGTACATAGGGGCATGTGTCTGTGTGAGTCTGTGCATGCAGTATGCTGTGAGATATCTGTGTGTGTGTGAGTGTGTGTGTGTGTGTGTTCATTGGTGGGTCCATGGGGCAGCTGCGTGAGTATTCCTGTTGACGTTAAGCAGCTAAACAGGACCAGCTTGCTGGGCTCTAAACCTCCCCTTTCAGAGAGGACCTAATGAAGTCCTGAAAGGCTTCCTGACTCCCTCATCTGGCTTTGTTTAGGTCCAGCTCTGCCTCCTCTTTGCTTGAGAAAAGCCATTAACCCATTTAGAAGACAGTCACACACATCCTGGAAGACAGGTCTGCACCGGTTTAAAAAAAACGTTTGCATGTTAAAAAGTATTTTTGAGGTGATCAGAGAGTCCAGTTTTACTCCATTTTAGCATTATAGTATGATTCTAAAATCAGACAGAAATTTAAGACAAACCTTAAACTTTTGGAACTTTTGGTGCCTAAACTAGTTAAAGTTTCAAAAATATTGTCCATCGTTTCTTCCATTTTTTACCTCCTGAGGTGGATTTAGCAGCATCACAACACAAACACCATCAAATCTTCACAACTGACCTTTCTTTCTTTCTTTCTTTCTTTCTTTCTTTCTTTCTTTCTTTCTTTCTTTCTTTCTTTCTTTCTTTCTTTCTTTCTTTCTTTCTTTCTTTCTTTTGTTGCTCTTTCTGTCTTTCCAATAATTAGTTCACTCTCACTATCAGAAAGTAATGACTGGATGATGATCATCACAACTTTTGGAGTTAATCCAGTTCAAGCTGGTTTCTGCAGCAGCTCAGCATTAGTCAACACAATCACTGACTTTAACCCAGTCAGAATGACAGATATTGAGCTAAGGTGAGAGTCATCCTCAACACCTTTAATGTAAGACGTGTCTGAATCAGACATGTTGAATTACAACTGTGGCATTAAAAGGATGCAGGTAATACAGTATGCATTCCTTCAAGGTATGCTATGCCTTTAAATGTCTTTATTCAAATAATTGTTTTGAAGGTGCTTAATTTTACATGTTGCAGATGAAGTCCACATCACTGAGAGAAGTCTTATTTGTTGCTCAATTCTTATTCTTCAGTATTTATTGCCTGAGGCAGGGTCATATAATTTATTTTGTCATCAAATATGATTATTTTTAGGTATTTTTTGTTTAGATTAAAGATTTAAAGAAAAATAARTGGATGTTATGCATCTGTTTCTTCTCAAATACAGACAAGTGCTCAAACCCTGACCAGATAAAGGAAACATTTGTGAGATTTTTCACATTTAACACCAAACATGACACAAACGGGGGGAGGGGGGGTTGATCTATGGAGGATGTATGAAATGAATCATCCCGTTTCTGAGACGGCACCCCGRCACCTTTTTCTTCGTGCTTGTAATAGCACTTCATTTTAATTTTAGAGTTTGTGCGTGCTCAATAGAAGAAAATTGTTTCTACTTGGTTATGCCTGTCTATTGAGAGCAAGGCAAGTGAAAAGGGACTGAGCRTGGGGATGCAGAAGGAGGTGGTGGTTGCGTGGGGGAATCGAGGCAAATGCATGGCAAATAAAAAAAACTGCGGCAGTTCAAATTGAATTTGTATTCACCAGGAAGTGGGTTAACCCAGTTAAAAGTCAGGGAATCCAATAGCACTGCCTGATACGTGGTGTCGAGACAATCTCCTTTGGGGAACTTAAGCGCTCGGTTCATATGCTGCCTACCCGTGCTCAGAGCATGTTTTCAGGTAATAATAATACATCATATTGCTTAACGGCATATTTATGTAAGAACTCAGCAGAGAGGAGGCATCTGGAGTGCCTCGGCGTTGTTCTTTGAAATCACCTCCCTCAGATATGTGCCACTCGCAGTTGTTGTGTTTTCTCTTCCTTATCAGTTAGGCAGAAATGGAAAATTCTATTACAGAGCGTATTTGGTTTGTCACAGTCAGATGCCTTCTCCTCAGGTTGCATCTTGCGGGGGGGAGCGGGGTGGGGTGAAAACGTTTTCCCCCAGATTTCTGCTGTTTAAAGACATGACTTAACTGTGTCTGTGTGTGGCTCCATCACCGCTCTGCTTTTTAAAGGGATTCATGATTAGATGTAACATTAGACTTTATTTGATAAACATATATTTTAACTGTAAAATAAAGAATGTAAAAATACTGTAGGCTGTTCAGTTTTGTAAATTTTAAAAAAAATATATATTTTAACACGGATGAAGCCATTTTATTTACACACAAAGCATTCTGGGTAAATGATGACGTGGATAGGTCATCGGTGCGAGGCTGCTAGCGAGCTATATCCATCCTGAAGGTTAATCTTGGACAATATCTGATGATCGACTTTTTTAAATGAAACCAGAGAGCGTTGACAGAAAGGAGAAGGTAGAAATGACTCAGCCTGGAACTGAAAATATGGATGGAGGACAACAGAGCTGCTTCATGGAAGAAGAACCTCAGCTTAGTCTGTTAGCCTTTGCGCTAGCGCCAACGCTATTTTGCCTTATATGTATTAGCTCAGCGCTAGCGTGACAAACAAGCTAAACTGAGGTCCTCCATCCATATTTTCAGTTGCAGCTGAGTCATTTTTGTGTTCCCCTCTCTGTCATGTGGATGGAGGACCTCAGGGATGAGAGGAGAATGTGTAGCACTGAGCTAATACATATATATGGTGATAGCGTCGAGGCTAATGCTAAAGCTAACAGGCTAAGCTGAGGTTCTTCTTCCATGAAGCAGCTCTGTTGTCCTCCATCCATATTTTCAGTTACAGGCTGAGTCATTTCTACCTTCTCCTCTCTGTCAACGCTCTCTGGTTTCATTTAAAAGAGCCGATCATCAGATATTGTCCAAGATTAACCTTCAGGGTGGATATAGCTCACTAGCAGCCTCGCAACGATGACCTATCCATGTCATCATTTACCCAGAATGCTTTGTGTGTAAATAAAATGGCTCCGTCCATGTAATATATTTTTAAACTTTTAGTTTAAAAATTTACAAAACTGAACAGCCTACAGTGTTTTACAGTCTTTTTTTTACAGTTAAATATATGTTTATTAAATAAAGTCTAAAGTTACAACTAATCGGGGATCCCTTTAATTTATTAAAACAATTTTAGGTCTAAAAGGGAACAGGCCTTTTTTTACACTGTATTTTTAAAACAAAACAAAACAAAAAAAGCAATAATGAAATAAAAAAAAGCACACAGCCACAAAATGGAACAGGGAAATGACAAATCTCCAAGTCTTTGCAGTATATTGACTGCCCTTGGTTCATTGACTTTTTATTACAGGAGGTAGCACAACTGTCAGCAAATAGGGTAAATTTGTTTTAGCCATTTACTTTGCAACATTTCAAGCTTATATTTTGCACCCCGTGTACACGTYGCGCACACAGCATTTTGTGCACATCAGCAGCTAGCATGTTTTTGCTGTCTGTGTGTGGATTTAAGGTGCAGATCTAAGCAGTGAAGACGAGGAGGAGGAGGAGGAGGAAGGACTGCAGACACGGAGAAAGAAAGATAGAAAACGGGGAGGAGTAGATGAAGAGACACCCAGACAAAGAGGTGGTTTCGGTCTACCAGGAACACACAGCTCTAGCCGCCAGCAGTGTGTCAGTGGTGGTCCCCTCATCCAGTCTGCTGCAGCAGCTGCCAGAGAGGCACCAGGCTGAGCGAGACCCAGATCCTTCCATGGCCCCGTCTCAGGTCCAGAGCCCCATCAACTCCCTGTTCCTCCGGGCCCAGCTGTCTTCTCCTGCTCTCTGTCTTCACACCAAAAACCATGTTAGTYGCCCTGAATCAGAACCCTGGGGCCTGTGTCTTTTTTCTTTTCATGCAGCCTCAGCAGAAGCCCCCTTCATCCCCTCGTATGCCTTCATAACAAAACCAACCTCAGCTTCTCAACACCGCCTGACCTAATATCTCTCCTGCAGCTTCTTCCACACCAAATAATTTGCTCCCATGTGCATTCAGACCGGACAGTAACATGTAAAAGCTGTATTTCTTTTCCTATTTRTGTTACAGTAGGGTAAAGTTCTAATCAGTGTCATAAAGTAAATCTGTGCTCGTAAAATCCTTTATAACAGCTGCTAGCATATTGAGCCAACAGACATCAGACAATTCAGCTGCTTGACTAAAAGATACAGGAAACACGACCAGAAACTAAATGTGAGTGTGTGAAAATGAAAAAAGATCACTTCAGGACATGATCTGACCAAGTTTATTGTTGTTTTTTAGTTGACATTTTGCTGAAGCGTTTCTTCCACATGATCAAACTGTTATTTGGTCATAAAATGATAATTAACTTGTTAAATTACAGTGAAGGTGATCACCATGCAGGCACGTGTGATGATAGTAGAAATAAAATTACTATTTTATAATGAAATAACTTATAAATAATCAACAGTTGGGTAAATAAGATACTGTAAACAAATTATAATTGTATTAATGCTTATGAATACGTATAGTTGATGCTGACTCAGCTTCTGCCAGATCAAATGTTTTAATAGTTATTTATTCAGATAAATGTATTATTGTCTTTGTTGCTCACCTCAACAAAGATCTCCCATTAATCACTTACCTTTGCTTTACTGTATTACATTATTCTTGATAAATAYTTACATCCACTCAACTTTATTTATTTGGCAGTTTTCAAGTGTAACTCAAAGTTCTGCACACAACAGGTCAATAGAATTAGGCATGACGATATAAATCAAAACAAAACATAAAACCAGAAATATAAAACAAAAAACAAAATGCAGTGACGTCAAAAATAAAAACTTGTACAAAACAAATCATTAAAATCAAAAGATCTTTGGTAAAAATGAATTTCACAAAGAAAAGTAAGTAAAAGTCATAAAACTGCTCAAAATATTCAAGAAAGTAAAAGTACTTTTACACATACTCTAAGAAATAAAGTGTATTTACTTAAGCAAACTGGTTCCAAGTTGAATTAATTAATTTAAATTTAATCAACTCAGTTTATATTTGTAGTTTGTAACCAAGTGTTGAATTTTAAAGTAAAGATTTGAATGTTTTGAATGTAACAAAATAAAAACTAAAATTTATGATTAAAAATGGTAAATTACTGTAACAATGTAAATACTTTGTTAGTATACAGCTCTGATTAAAACACATTGCATACAGTGTAATCAAAATAAAATTGCATGTTGCTGAGGTTAGTTCTATAAAAAAACCTGTTTAGTTTGGTGTTGGCTGTTGACACAGTGTCTAATCGGTGTCCTGAACACAAGCAGAGAATCCCAACTCTGAAAAGCTCACAGATGAAGAAGTAGATGAGATAAATGCAGCACCATGTTTGAAACAGGTCACTGTTGCTATTTTTACTTACTGCACTCTAGTTGCCTTTTAATGTCTTATAAAGTTTTTACAGCTTATATATTATTAATGGTTAGACTTCTGTTCCCATTTTAACTTTAAAGTATTTGTACACATGGGCCCGCGACCTTTGAACCCACATGTGACCTGTTCCTCAGTGTCTCTGAGTTACTCTTCATTCCCGTTCACTCCCCATTACCCCGCTCCTCAAGGCCTATCCCCCATTTAAAGCCCTTTTCTCTTTCCCTGCTGGGGCTGGAGAGGGGCCGAAGCTGCAGCATCCTCCCATCCGTTAGCCAGGAGCCACAGATCCCAGCCAGAGATGCCATCTGATACAAGTCGATCATAATGAAGGTCCAGCATGGGGCTAAATGAGTTTCCACCTCAGCCACGCGAGGGGCTAATGACAAAACAGCCTCCCTGTGCTCCTTGGCCTGCCGCTAGCTTTAATCAGGGCATATGGCACTTGCCTAAACTGCTTGCCTACGAGGAGCGCAGAATTTTTTTGGGGAAAAAATGCAGTAAAAATGAGAGCTCTGACGGAGAAAGATCGAGTTTAAAAACTTGGAATGAGAGGTTTAACATGGAGGGAAGACATTCTGAAAGTTTACAAAGTTGCAAAGAATTCCTGAAATTAAAGAAGCTGCTACATACGTGTTTTTTTATTCTTCCATTTTTTTGGATAGGGTAAAACTTCCCTAATAGGCAGGCCTGTGTGCTGCCTGATGCAGCATAGAAATTACTAATAGCTTTCATAGATTTATATTAATTTGCAGGATTTAATGTTCCCTAAATGGCAGATGATCAACAAGGGAAAACAAAAGTGTATTARTGTCCCGGTGATATAAAAAGACTGTGGAAAGGGGTTGGGAGCTTAACAAATAGGCTACTCTATTTTCCTAGCCCACTTTATGGCTCCCCAACCTATCCAAATTAGCTTAAAAGATTGATAATTCTTCACTAATATAAAACTGTTACTGAGCCCCTAAACTGTGACTTGCTCTTTTTTTAGGTTTTGTCAAACACTAAATAAAAGCCTGGTTTTGGAAATTAATTTGAAATCGCATAACAAGGCTTGCTTTTAATTTGATTAATTCTTTGTTGTTGTTTTAGATCCCTTGTGAAGACACCCATGACGTTTCGAGGTTATTTGTTCCACTGTCTAATGACAATTTTCTTGCACAATAACACCAGTTAAAGAGCTGCCTCAGAGCTAGTTTTTTTTTCTCCCCTCCCTTGAAATCACAGAGAAGGCTAAGCCAAAGGGGGACTAATAAACCTCAGCCTTAATTCCACTGTGAGGCTACTGCTGTGACTGCTCGCACTAGAACTTCCTCACAGCTCTAATTAGATACTAAAAGATGATCAAAACCGGTTTTAGCCTCACTGGCTTCAGACTGAAGGCATTTAGTGACAGTGGTCATTAAAAAAAGATATTAGGCCATTTTGAGGAAAAGTAATAAATGGTTTCTCAAGTTCCAAAGACAAAGTAGTTTTAAACGCCACAGCTGCAACAGAAGATGTTTTTTTTTTTACACTGGAACTATTTTTGTTGCTTGCCACAATATAAGGCATGTAATTGCCTGTGCTTTTGTTGATCTGTAAGCAAAATATCTCTTGAACCAAAGGTCAGATTTTAATTAAATCCTTAGACAGTAATCACTGGTTGTACCGTTAGGAGTCAACATGACTGAGGATGGTGCCAATYAAGCAAAGTGAGCCATCACATCGAAACGAGGATTAAGTCTAAAAGTGGTGCATGGAGAATAAAGTGTTTTGATTAATTAAAATGTTTGCAAAAAWTGCATTTTGTCAAAACATAATGAATCAATKTCTTATCAATGTATTTGAATGAACTGTCTGAAATACAATCATAAAACAAAAATTTGAAGCATGTTTTTGAGCAGTAGCAACAAAAAAAAMCTGATTTTGAGGAAAAATGCCTTAAAATTTTGAGATTTTCCTTGTGAGAAAGCAATATATTTGTTTCTTTCCWGCTGGAAAATCTYAATATTCAAATGAATTTTTTTTCTTTAYATTGRCATCAAAAATTCCTCCTTAAAATTACATAAAATGAGGATTCAGACCAAATATTATTGTATTATTGTAACCAAGAAGACAAATTAAATCATATACCTGAATAAGCTTATGATATTAGAATGATTCATATATCAAAATGTAGCTTTTAAAGCCAGGAATCTGAAAGTGTAATTAGGTCATTTTGACCAAATTTGACTTAATCCTCATTTCGATATGATKGGTCACATATTTGCTGCAGTAGCTGAGAAACGTCTCCAACTCGTCCTCTCAGATCACATCAGATTTTTATAAAAAACCATGACATTCAAAAAGATGCATTTCATCAAGAAATGCGAGTTCAACTTTTTGCTTAAAGTTCTCTCGTGCACTATTGCAAAAATACGCCACTGCAGAAACTGGTTTAGTTCATCTTAAAGCTGATGGATCACATTTTGAAAGTGGTCTGTTATCGGGCTGCGYTCATGAAGAAAACCAACCCTTGAAACCCACACTAACTGAACCCCACTGCTCCTGATTTTCTCCAGCAATATAAGCAGTTTTGGTGACCGACAAGCCTCTGGTGCAAATTGGTCCATCTTCAGCAGGGAGCGAGAGTCGCTTCTCTGTACGGAGGAAGATACAGGAAGGCTGAGTTTATCCAAGGCGAAGGCTTTTCYTTCCCCTGAACTCTATCATATCTCCTCCACAATCTTTCTAAGAAATGTCATCCAGGTTCTTCCCTCASAGCGAGGTGATTGCTTGCAGCTGGGGTGCATTGAGAACATTTTAATATGATGTGGTAGATCAGAGCAAACTAACTACATTATTCTCTTATTACACTCATTTCATCCAACTGATGTCTTTATATTCCTCTCTTTGCCTCGATTAGACTAATGTGAAAATGGAAAGGGAGGGGAATACGCTTAGGACTGTACCCTATTGTTCCTCGGTTGCCTATTATTTCAGAGCACCATTAAAATGGAGGCGTCTTCTCTAGTGACTGTAAATAAAACGATTAGTGGCAGATCCAGCCGGGTGCTGAGGAAGATTTCATTCCAGGGATCTGCTTATCAACGTTCTTGGAAAGGTTTTGAAGGATTGCGAGGGCCTGTCGCAGACAAGAAGCCACCCCCCACCCCCCACCTTCATCCCACGGCAGCTCCATGCCTCTYCCTGGATCCGCATTATAGTAGCAAATCTCCCACTTGCCTTGAATTCTTGTCATAAAATAAATAAATCAATTACATTCCCACACACACGCACGGCTTCCGTCGCAGGGCTGGGTTCAAATTGTTTCGTCTCACATGCCTGTAAGCCTGCTTAATATCCTGCCAGCATGCCCAAATTATTAGAAAAGTACAAGAGTGACAATTGTCAGCGGATGYCGTCGATCCGAGCGCACACGTATTAAATGCTGTCAGCCTGAATGTGAAGAAGGAACAGCTCGCACACTTCGTAAAAGCCTTCACAGATCAGGAAACTCTCTGAGATGTGGGTGTTCCAGACGAAGCAACAACGAGGACTCCTTCAGCACTGRTCCTTACACGCATGCAACAAGTCCAGAAGCCATACTTGGCGGAAAATTGCTTCGTTGTGAAATGATTTTATGATGTTGCACAGTGTGTGCTCTGGCCTTTAACATGATGCACAACCAGACACCAGGAGTCAATCAGTTTGTTCAGGAAAACTCTTCAGCATGGAAAATGTTTGACAAGGTCTATCAACACAACAACCAAGTGATACTGAGCTCTGTCAAAAACAGTAATAGTGGTGATAATTTCACAAAACTAGACTAACAACGAATGATTTAAATGCATATATACTGATCCTTAAACACAGAGCATCTTCAGAAGACAAGTTGATAAAGTAAATTTTAAAAATCTGTATT